TCTATCCCTAAATCTGTGCACTCGAACGATGCATCTTCATGGTTCTCTAGTCCGATTCTCCCATTGTGTCGCGTGTATTTGGCGCGTTTAAATAGATTAACCGCCTCGCAATTTGCTTGTCTCCTATCTCGGATCGCAGCTCCTACTCGTCCATTTGACTCAGCCTTGTGTGCTTGCTCTCATCTGTCTGCCTGGCAGCTACTGTGTCGTTTCCTCTCCTCTTTTCCTACTCCTCGTCTGACACACAATTAGCTGTGGTCGCCTTTTGTTTGCTGTCTTAATCTTTAGTAAATTAGTTCATTAAGAGGTTAATTCTTCACAACACCCACAAATTATATACGAAATGAATAGCAGTGCATGAGTGCAGAAGTTCCATTTGCCAATACATGAATATACAAATGTATATAGGCGGGCTGCTTATCTCGAGATAATTAGCGATAAACATAAAAGACTCGAATCGTTTAGCTCGTTTTGTTGATAGTCTTAACCAGTTTCAAATACTTTTACATGTCCAAGTCTCTGTGCAATTGCCTGGAAAACTTCCATCTCTGCTTCAGTAGTTTGTTATCTGTTTTTATTTAAGAGCTTCACTTAGAAAAATTAAAATATTTAGATATAAAATTATTTTTTAGCTTCTTTAAAATTAATTCAATAATTTTTTTTTGCAAAAATTCAGTTGGGCATCTAAATATATAAGTTCTTTCCTACCAAACTCTTATTCAATTTTTTATTAATTGATTTTTGCTTATTCAGAATTACTTGAAGCGAGCTGTCCTACCCCTAGGTAAAGGTGTAGAGGTGTAGAGCTGGTGAGCTGCCCTGCACCCACCTCTACCTCGCTCACTTCATTACATAAATGCCTCTCTCTGGGCTACTTAATGCCAGTAGAAGTATAGATCAATTCTAGTTTACTGAAGTTTATTAAACCCATTCAAAATTTGGCCTCTGTTATTAAACTATTACCAGAACCATTAGATCTATAGATGGATAGAGATAGATCTATACAGATAGATGGAAATCTATAGATAGATAGTAGAGATAGTAGAGCTGTTTGGTAATAATTAGTTTGGCCTTATCAAATTTATTGCATATTTTCACATATGAAATGCCAGCATATTTTAGCAATAAAATGTAGAAGTCAAGTTAATAAATATGTAGCTAAATAGTTCGATTATTAATATAAAATAATAATTGTAAAATAATGTATATATAAGTTGACTTTAAGAAAGATATTTTTGCAATGACTTTTGAAAGAACGTAAAATCAAAAAAAAATAAGTGATTTATCAGTGACTGTATGATTTATCTCACTAAAATGCGAATCAAGATTTCAATTGTAATAAAAAAAAAACTGAAAATATTAAGCATAAAATAAGTTATATTTCAAGCAGCAGATTCTCAGTTCAGATAGCTTGCTCATTCACACAGAAAACGCTTCGACATGATTAGATTGTTTATGCTCAGATGCATTTGCTCTAATCCTGCATACCCTTCGCACTGCTTTATACTTGGGTTAGAGGGTAAAAAAAGTTGCACATTTAATGCTGCACTAAAAAATGACGAGTCGAATTTCAACAGAAACAGAATAAAATAAACAAACTGAATATTCACATGCGCCACAACAAAATGCCACATGGAAGACTAGATGATGGGGCTTATTGCCTGCTGCCGCTCCTCCAGCTGTGGCACAGCCATTGCTCTAAGTCTGCTCTGATGTTGCAGCTTGGCTCTCTCGGCAATGGCCTGCGTCTGGTCACAAAGGCCGTGCAAACATGGCGTAAACACACACACAAACACACACAAACACACACAAACACACACAAACACACACAAACACACACAAACACACACATGGACACACACATGGACACACACATGGACACACACATGGACACACACATGAAATGGGCGTGCAGAGTCAGATAATGCTAACTTTGAATGCGAAACGTAACGGCAGGACATGAAGGATGAGCCACAGCTGCGAGTAGAGGAGGGGGCGGAGGGTCGAGGGCAGCAAGAGCACTAAGTAAATTGCTCACATAAATGCAAAGCTTCCAAAAGAAGTTAGTCTTTGGCGGTTGACTAAAATATACTCAGCAATATGTGTGATACTTAAGAGTAGATATGGAAAACTTAGTTGACTTTTGACTTGGCATTTAATTAAATTGAATGTAATTAGAAAGGCAAAACTAATAAAAGTGATTAAGCGATCTTTTAAGTGGCTTTGAGATAGTTGCACTTAGTTGGGTTTCATTTACAGAGTCATGCATTAAGGCAAAGGTCTTTTACGCCTCGTCTTTTTAGCCATAGGGATATGTATTTATCAATTAAATAAAAAGCTCTGAAATAGAACGAGATATACGTATAGATATACTTATTAAAAGAGACTTTCTGTTTGGCCAAATATTTATAGCATATATAGGCTACTAGAAGTACCTCTTATGGGGTACTATGGGGTACTATGTCCAACTGGTGACTCTCCTTTATAACGAAAAATGAGCCGCTTATATTAGAAATGTATTCCTACACATCAAAAGTCAAATACAACTCAATACGTATTTTGTCTTTATATATATATATATATATATAGGTAATTTGAAAGTATACCTAGTTATAAGTTTTTTATATTTATTTTATTTTTTTTTTAATTGCTGTTTTTATTTGCAATCTGTCTTATACTAGACAATAAACAAATTTGTTAACAATAATATTACGTAACCGGATGGCTTGGGCTCCAATGTACTATACATATTTATATATATCTATTTCGGTGGGGTAGGTCTAGGACTCTGAAATAAAATTATTTTCTTATGTTAGATACATATTATAAATGCTGAAACATTAGAATTCAAAGATGATGCTATCTGTAGGCTACAAGTAACTAGACAAAAGATATTAATTCTTTCAACACATACGGTCGTCTTTGGCTTCTTGTAAGCCATATCTATATTCTATATAATAAATAAATATATATATTATATATTCTAATATATATATATATTAAATAATATATATAAATATTTCAGTTGCAAAACAAAAAAATTTAAGTTTAAATTTATCTTAAAGATATTTTTTGCAACAAATATTTATCAAAAATATTTATAATAAATATTAAAATATTAAAATTAATTTTATATTTTTAATTTTTAATTTAAATAAAATAATAATATATAAATAAATATAATATATATTCTATATATATATATTATATATATATATATATATATATATATATATATATATTTTCTAATATATATATTTACTATTTATTCGTGTTTTGGCTTATCTCAAAGAGCTGTAAGTCCTCATGGTAATATAATTAAATATTTACATATATCTATAAACCTTCTACTAGCTTCAACTTCTTAGCCATACATATACTATATGTATACACTACATATGCTATGCTATACTATATGTCTGCCTTGTGAGCTCAATTATAGCCAGCTTATCGTAAGTTCCTGCGACTATCTGCATCTATTTGCCGTCGTTTAAAATGATAAAGCAACAGAGTGTGGTCGGACTCATTGTCGTTATGCTGCTTGATAGAGTCTCAGTCTCTCTTCCTCTCCCTGTCTCCCTTTGTGTTTGGCCTTTCCGGTATCCCTGAAGAGTTGTGCTTTTGGATGTACAAGTTGCTCAACTGCAGCGGCAAGCAGAAATAGCGAGAGTTTCAGTAGCCGCAGTCATGCTACTTCGCTGCCAACGAGAAGAAAACTCTAAGAGCAAACAGAATCAAAGAATGTCGCGTCGTGCTGTGAGATATCATCAAAATGAATATAAGATTATATTTACCAAGTCAGAGCGAGGCGAAGCTGTGCACCTCGCCTCCACCCATTTCGAGTGCAGCGAGCAGCAGGAGCTGGAGCCGTAGACATTGCCATTATACAGCGTCAGAGTAAAGGTGAAAGATGTGCAAACAAAGACGCTGATAAAACGAAATGCCAAACGGCAATTGAAATGCATAACAAAGGCATGCACACTGGAGGATCGCAGATAGAGCGACAGACAGACAGACAGAGAGGGAGTGAGAGAGCGAGAGAGATGGAGCTGGTTGGACAAGTGAAAGAGGGCAACGTCAACTCTTTCGAGTGGGCGACCAGAGGCGCTGCCATTTCGTCGTCTGGCTGCGCTTCTTGCAGATGCTTGCAGAAACTGCCCTGAGGGAGGGGCAGAGCAGGGGGCGGGGAGCCTAAATCAAGTGTGAACAGAATACGGCCAAGTTTTGGCTGCCACTTTGCGTGGCCAGCTCAAGAGACAGAGAGACAGAGAGAGGAAGAGAAAGAGAGGTGCGAGAGTTGGGGTGGATGTAACCTAAGGCAACACTCGACGTTAAGAAGACAGCCTCGCTCTCGCTCTCGCTCGCTCACACAACATCGTGCTCGCTCGCTCGCTCTTATGCGCCATGTCTGTATATATATATAATATTTTTAGGGGCGGTCTCTGCGCTTGCTCTGGGTAAATTATTCCAATTCGACATTTTGTGTGAAATTCATAAAGCGGTTGATGTCGCTGCTGCTGCTGCTGCTGCGTCGACGTTAACAGCGCAACAGTAACGTCAATGCTGCTGCTGCTGCTGTAGCCGTAGCTGCTGTTGTTGTTGTCCCATCCAATCTGAACGTCATTATGATGTTGGCGAACGTCCTTTTGCCTGTCCTATCGTCATACTACCTCCTTCCATCCTTCTGGCCAGCCGTAGGCAGGCAGTCCTAGCAGGCCGTCTCTGTCGCACAGCACACATCAGCCAAAGACAGTGCACAGAATTTAAGGGTAGTTTTTTCCGCACCCCTCGCTGGCAATGCGTTTGCTCAGTTAACAGGCTCAGCTCAGAGTCACACTGAGTCAGTGAGTCCTTCTCGTCCGGGCAGTCCTTTTCATTATTTTTAAGGCCACACGACGTTGTGTTTGCTTTCATTCCGCTTCGGTCGCTGAGTCTGTGCGGAACAACAACGTTCATCATCGCGTTAGTGCCAAAAAAAGAAAAAAAAGAAAGAAGAAACTGCAAACGAAACGAATATATTAACTAATTGACAAGTGAACAGAGCTGCAGCTAAGAATTGAAAAGTTTATACGAAATTTGATAATTGTGCGTGTGATACGAATTGATTTACCTTCACTTACCTTGTGCCACTTCGAAGCAGCGCACACAAATTGGATACGATTGGGCAGCGCCTAAATATGGTTTACTTTGTACGTACCTCAACAATATATACATATATATATATATATATATATATATATATATTTTATTATAAATTGCTAATGATAGAGAAGCATAAATATTATATATTGTGATGCTAAAAAATATTTCAGTTGCAAAACAAAAAAATTTAAGTTTAAATGTATCTTAAAGTTATTTTTTGCAACAAATATTTATCAAAAATATTTATTTATATATTAGAAATACTTATAATAAATATTAAAATATTAAAATTAATTTTATAATATTTTTAATTTTTAATTTAAATAAAATAATAATATATAAATAAATATAATATAATTTAAATATTCATAACTTAATATGAATTAACATATGCCAAAAAGGTGAGGCTTCTAATTGATTTGAAGCTAATACTAAAATAGATTTAAAGAATTTTCTCTGAAAATGTTTGCAATATTTTGAATATTTTTAAATATTTTTTTGATATGTAAATTTAAATTTTATATTATTGAACTCAACATTTCGCAGACCATTTTATATATATATTAATATTTTATTTATTTTTTAAATATATTCTATTATAATTATATATTTAAATATATTCCAAATATTGCATTTCATAAATTTTTTAATATTCAAATTATAAGCTTTTTATTAATAATAAATATTATATATTTATAATATATAATTATATTGATAATAATGATATGGGATAAAATATGAAAATTGAAAAATATGAATAAATAAATTGAAGTTCAAGTTACATAAGCAATCTATAGCTAATAGATCATATAAAACTCAAGAAATAGTATGTTTGCATAAGCCCGCATATAGGAAATATCTGTGCCCAAATACCAAGTAGTTATTGGAGTACTTGAGTTGTTAAAATATTTCCACTAATTTTCGCACTACAGCTGTATGGATTAAGCAAGTGTCAAGAAGCAATTGAGGGCTAAAGTTTCGTACGCCCTCATATGGTCAGACCTAATGGAATTAATAGCACTTGATAGAAGCACACTATATGTATACGCAGGCAGCTCCAAGAGAGGGCCAGGCATATACGAGCTACTTACTGAAGCGTCAAATAAAGCTAATTAAAAATGTAGTCACATGCATCGACGCCTGGCAAGGAGCGGGCACAGAGCCCAAAGACGACAGCCCAGCGAGGCAGAGCTGAGACCGAGGCGAGACCCGTTTCCATAACGGATGTCGCGCATTATGAACACTTGAGGAAGCAGCCGTGGAGATGGCGATTGGTAGACTTTACACTTGCAGCCAAGTGTAAACAATTTAATGAGGTGCAAATAAAAGCAGCACAAGACCCGCGCCAAAAAATATGCTGAGAATCACGTGTGTGTTATGATTGATATCCATATATATTTGAATACATTTGTTGGGCTGCAATGATTTGTGCTGCAACGCGATTGTTTGTGGCTAGTCGAGCGTGGCTAAAGGCTGCACGGGTTAAGAATCAAAGCCACAATCAATAAGCCGCTAAAAACTTCTATAGAATATGTTTTTGCATAATTTTTTGTGTATTGCTGCGGTTTTGTTTTAATTGCGACCCGCTGACTAGGCAGCCACAAAGACTCGGTGAGCTCTTGGGAGAAGCTTGCGGAGAGCGTAGAAAATTAGAGTCGACTAAGTGATGGGGTTAGGGCCACGCCTCTGCGTCTCCGCTGCGTTTGTTTGTATTGCCACAAATAATTTACACTTGACTGCACAGCAACGGGGCGTATGCTTGATATTATAATTGATAACCCGTTGCTTATTTGCGTACACGTCGCTAACCGTAAGCCTTTATTGTTTTTTGGCATCTTTGCAGAGTCCGCGTGGCATGCAACCGTGTAGTCCATCGGGTGTTGTCGCTATGATGCCGCCATCGAAGAGTCCCGTCATGGAAACCGCCGCCAGCGATGGCAATCAAACAGCTGGCAGCGATGCCAAGCGCTCGTGTCCACTCAAGTTTTCCATTGCCAAAATCATGGAGCCGGACAATAAGCAGCCGTCTCAACAACAACAGCAGCAGCAGCAACATCATCTGCAGCAGCAGCAGCAACAACAGCTGGAGGAGCAGCCGCTGCCTGAGGAGGAGCAGCGCGACTCGTATGCCGACTCGGAGCGCTCCTGCAGCCTCATCGAGGTGACTGGCGACGAGGAGCCAGCAGCCATGACAGCCATCAACTACGACTCGGCCTTTAAGAAATATGTGCCCGGCTCGAGCTTGTGCTCTGCCGCAGCTGCGGGTTCGGCCTCTGCCTCTGCCTCGGCCTCAGCCTCAGCCTCAGCCTCAGCCAGCGCTGTGCAACAGTTTGTGAGCACGCGGCACCAGGAGCTGCTCTCGCAGTATCCTCTGCTCTACTATGCGCCCAACCAGCTGATGTGCGCTGCTGCCGCGGCTCAATATGCCGCGCTGACCGCACAGCAGCAGACGTTGGCCAGCGCTGCTCACATCAGCAGCTTCACAGCCTCACTCAATGCCACACTGCATCATTCTCAGACGCTGCGTCGCAACTTGGGTCATCCGTTGGCTGCCGCTGCTGCTGCTGCTGCCGTGGCTCAGTCCGCGCAGCCGTTGGCAACGCAGCAGAGCTTGGAGAAGAGTCCCATGCGTACGCCACATGCCTCGCAGCACGTGAATCTCAAGCGCAAGCGTTCGCCGCCAGGCGAGGTGACAACGCCGCCATTGACATTGCCATTGCCACTGCCATTGCCGCCGGCCGCTGCTGTAGCGCGTTCGCGCTCGCCATCGCCGCACGGCTCATTGGAGGACAGCAGCCCGGGCTCGGCCAATGGCGGCAAGCCGAAGACGTTCTCGTGCCTGGAGTGCGGCAAGGTCTTCAATGCGCACTACAATCTAACCAGGCACATGCCAGTGCACACGGGCGCCCGCCCCTTTGTCTGCAAGGTGTGCGGCAAAGGATTTAGGCAGGCATCGACCTTGTGCCGCCACAAGATCATACACACCTCCGAGAAGCCGCACAAGTGCCAGACCTGCGGCAAGGCCTTCAATCGCAGCTCCACGCTGAACACCCATGCGCGCATCCACGCCGGCTATAAGCCGTTCGTGTGCGAGTATTGCGGCAAGGGCTTCCACCAGAAGGGCAACTACAAGAACCACAAGCTCACCCACAGCGGCGAGAAGGCCTACAAGTGCAACATCTGCAACAAGGCGTTCCATCAGATCTACAATCTCACCTTCCACATGCACACACACAACGACAAAAAGCCGTATACGTGCCGTGTGTGCGCCAAGGGCTTCTGCCGCAACTTCGATCTCAAGAAGCACATGCGCAAGCTGCACGAGCTGGGCGGCGACTGCCTGGACGATGACTTGCCACCGGCATACGAACGCCGGCGCGAGTACACGCGTCGCGAGCCGCTCTCGAACTACAGTCAAGCCAGCCAGCTGACGCCGGACTCCTCGTCGGGCAGTCTATCGCCGCCCATCAATGTCACCACGCCGCCGCTGTCCAGTGGCGAGGCCAGCAACTCCGCCTGGACGCGTGCGCCCTACCAGGAGACATCGACGGCCAGTCACTTTCACCATCTGCAGGCGCCAGCTGTGGGCCTGCATGGCGACTACTCCGGCAGCTCGCCATTTCTGCAGCTAACACATCCCGCACAGCAGCAGCAGCAGCAGCAGCACCACCAGCAACAACAGCAGCAGCAGCAACGTCTGACGGCAGCTGCGCTTGAGAATGTGCCATTCATAGCTAAGGTATTTTGACAGAGATACTATGCCGAAAATCTGGCCAGTTGTACGGCAACCTCGATGACGAAAAGCAAGTCTGGCAACGATTTGCTCATCGATTGACTGCAGTTTGTAACGGCAGCAGCGGCAGCCACAGCCACAGCCACAGCCACCGCCACAGCCACATCCTCCGATGATGCTGTCACGCCGGAGAGCAGCTGCACGACCCTGGGCAATGCTGTGCGCGCTCTAAATGGTCTATTCTAAATGCTTAGCCTCCCACCAAATGGTTTCAACATAACCTGTGCAATAAACTTTCGAATCCTTCGAAAACCTTTTCTTCTACCGCACCTTAGGCTAACGAATATATAATATATATCTCTCTCTATATATATAGTATGTGTGATTTGAGAAGCGAATTAATGTCGATTTTATTTATTCAACAAAGTGTAAATAGTTACTTCAGCATTCCAGATACGTTGATCCGGTATCTGTATCTCTTAGGTGTACGTCTATTGAATCTAGTTAGTTCGAAATGTAATCTAAATCTAAATGTCATAAAAAGTATGAACAAAAAGCCGAAGAAAACAAGAATTTCATCATCATTACTAAGTGTATGTCTGTATATATATTTATGTATTTATGGATTGGTTGAAATGGAATCAAATTTTATCGAAATCATTGAAATTGTTTAGCAACTAAGTGAAATTATTGATAATGTTTAAGCAATAAATCAATTCTTCAATATAATTCCTTGAATTTAAAGTTCTTAATGGGAGTGAAGGGGCGTAAATTTGTAGTTGCATTGTAGAAGATATTTGAATGTATTATAAGAAAACCTCTTTGGTCCAAAGGACTTTCTAGTTTTGAGCACATCTGTAATCCACTCATTGTACTATATACTATATATACTATATACTATTAGAGATCGTAGTCTGCCATCTGAGTTTTCGATCTAAATATATGTGTTTTTCTCTGACTTAAAACCAATTTTTAAGTTCGCATTTTTCAAATAGATTCGATCAAAGCCTTAGAAATTTGAGTGAACATAAAAATAAATTTTAAAAATATTTTGCATATTTGTAATGCTTAAAGTATTATAGATATATATCTACAGCGATATCTAACCAGATTCAAAATATAATTATAATTATATATATTATTTTAGGCAAATTTTTTTTTAGTTTTTGAACTGTTTTTGAAAATATTAAGTTATAACATTGCAAATTTTATTTTATAAACAGACCTTACTAATTTTTTTTTAACTTTTAACTTTTCAAAAATTTTTAGCTGTTTTTAAATTAATAATTTTTTTGAATTTTTAAAAATTTTTTGGAAAACTCAGATTTACATGCGAATGCCAGCTAATCACAAATCAATTGATACAACTCACTGAAATTTCCGTAAGCTATTCTATTGCTTATAAATTTGAAATAAAAAAAATATAATTGAAAATAGAATTAACAACTGAAACTTTCACCTATCATAGAATTCATTCAAAACATAATAATGAATAATTTAGCTTAACATGAACTCAATTTGAAATTTATTTGTAGACTTGAAATAACTAACACAAGTTTTACTGTGCAAGTTTTAAGCTCACAAGTTGCGAATTTTGTATTTCCTATGCAGAGTAAAACTCTAAAGTTAAATGCAGCCTTTAGAAATTTATATCTTTGAGTGACTTACATTTGACTAGAGACTGTCTAAGCTGTGACTTGGCCAAGGCGTGTGCAATTCGAAATATGCAAATTGAGTTCAGGCCCCTTTTTTAATGAAAACAATTAATGCTGCATTTGCTGAAGAGGCGGACGTCTTAATGGCCGTCAAATCGGCGCAGCACACGTTGAATTCTCGCCATTTAATTAAAGGTGAGTTGGTTGGCCACTCCAGCATGATGCCTCATCGCATTTACATATCACTTTGATCTCGAGTATGAAGGATTGTCTGGCACCTCCAGCCCTACTATGATACTAGCTCTTGACTTGGTTGCTCATAGAAATGCAACTGCGACGTTTATGTGGCACAGACAGCAAATGGCTTAAATCATTTTTCTGTTAACAACAATTTGACTTACAATTGAAAATATCTTTTCTTCTGTGAAGCAAAAAGACAAAGTCAAAAATATTTGAAAATATTTAGTATAGAAAATCGCATCGAAATAATGAATATATCAATAATATACTAAATTAATAAATGAATGAATAAATAATATATGATATGTTGCTTATGAGTCCGAGTATTTCATGTTTCATTTGTATCTTTTGATCGAGGCAATTTCTGTCTTACGTGACAATATTTGATAAGAGTCTTTTAAGTTAGACCCAAGGACTTGGCTACATTTATGCAGATATTTTGATACTGAGTGGGAATATCCTTTCTCGCCTGTCTTCAGTATCATCGAGCACATCTGAGACTGATTGGCTAGGCAAGTTTACGTGCTCGGGAAAACTATAAAATATAAAAATGTAATTAGTTTAAATCAGTTCATTAATTTATGTTGAATATCTTTAAAATGCGAATGTAGATCAAATTTTGTTAGTTGTTGCTAGTTATAAATTAGTTGAAAATTTATAAAAAAAAAATGAATAGAACTACGGAAGTCCACTATTGTTGTTGTATTGAGAATATTAAAGTTATCGTCGCTGATTGCGTTTTCTAATGGCTATTTTATGCGACTATTTTGTCAGCTCTTCCCATATATTTTCAAAAATATTTTATTTATTTAGATTTATTTCAAACAGAATAAAACAGAAAAAAGTATTGTCGGACTGCAGCTCGAATGAGATGGAAATTATTCATTAAAAGGAGAAGGAAAAGAAGAGGCTATTCTGATGAGGAATCGAAAAAGGCTTCTGATAGCTTGATTATAAGTATTTAACAATTGGTAAAGAGTAAATTTGAATATGAAATTGATAACAACAATAATAAAACTATAGAGATAATAATATGTAAGTATGTAACAAATTTTTCTTTATAAATAATTTATTTATATTCTCAATATTCTGAAAAATTAAAAAATACATATTTTAAATAATTTAAACTGCATACATGGGTTATACATGGTAACTTAGAAGCCGGAAGTAGCTGACAAAGCACAGCTCCAAGTGAAAACTAATCATATTTTGACAGATCAATATCAATCTCACTTAAGCCCATTGTCATCATAAGAAGAAGAAGAAGAACAAAAATAAATATATCAATTATCATCATTTTTATAATTTATTCATTTCAAAGCTCACTTGATATACTCCCTTGCCCTCACTCGCTCTTCTTATAGGCTATAAATATTGTGAAGAAGTTGCTGCATGTGCTGCTGCCACTTCAGTTGACATATCACACACAGTTCTTGTTGTTGTTGTTGTTGCTGTTGTTGTTGCTATTGCAATCCACTGTGTGTCGACCCTCAATGCAATTGCTGGCTGGCTATGAATAATTTAAGCGAAATCAAATATTTTATGCAAATGCAAAAAACGACTGCGAATGCTCTCTATCTGCGAGCATATGCCTAAGCAGACCGCCCACTGGCTCTTCGTACCACCCACACATGTCTATGCCTCTGTGTGTGTAAGCCTTGTGCCAAAAAAAAAAAAAAACAAAAAAAAAAGAGATGAGAATGACTTTTGACACCGCCTCGCGGCATTCTTTTGAAAGCCAGTTGGCTGATGACGACGACGATTTGTATCTGCGCCTCCGCCTTGTCGATGTCAAAGGCCAACCCCCAATTCTGACATCGATGGCCCTTAACATTTTGTCATGTTGTCCGCGCGCTGATTTGATTTCTTTTGATGTTTGCTTTATGCACGCCCAAACGACCATTCGAGTGGCATTTCGCCACAGGTCCAACCATCCAGCCATCCAGCCACCCTTTCCATCTGTTCCATCCAACCATCCAACCATCCGTTAGCCATCAGCATACATTGACACACACACAGAGACACAGAGAGACATCCGCCTTATTTGGCTAATTGAAGTCCTTGGCTATTGCTGCCCGAAAAGCCACAGCTTTGTAGATCTTACTCAGATAATCTCTGAATCATGAATCCTTGACACTTCTTTGCCACGAGCTGACGGCCGCATTAATTAAGCTAATTAAATGATATGTGCTCAGTTAGCTAAATAATTGCTCTAACTGAGAATTATATCTCTAGAAGCTTAGCATATTTAACAGGTAAATAAAACTTAATCAGTTTCTAGCTAGTTTTAAGAGTCTTTGTACTGCTTATCGACTCAGCTGAATGGCTATATATGAACTTAGCCAGTCTTATATGAGCTTATCAAGCGCTTAGGGAAGGTAAATGTAAATATAAAGAAAATGTTTTTAAGGTTTTAACTGATTTTTTAATTTATGTTGTAAGTTTTAAGCGATAAAAAATGAATTAAATTCGTATCATTTTATTATATTAATATAAGATTTTACGCATACTTTTTTATATTTTTAAAATATTGTAAAATTAGGAATTTTAGAATTCGTCAAGTTTGTAAATTTGGATATTTCATTTGTTTTGCTTCATTTCTGTTTTTATGTTAAAATTTATAAAAGATAATAAATTGTTATAAAATATGCGATTTTTTTATCTTTGAATATTTTTTTCATATTTTTATATATGTTCAAATCTCATTTCTTCTTTATTTAGAATTTTTATAAATATCAAAAAAAGCGTAAAAGCTCTAATAGTTTTTGCGAGAATAAATAAATAAATAAATAAAATATTGATTGAAATAGATCAGTCAAAATAATTTATATATTTTTATTTTATATGTATATATATGATCAGGTAAATTCTCAGTTGAGTGGGTAACAATATTTAAAAAAATGATCTTTAAGAAAAACACAAGAAGCTGCATTAAAGCTGAGCTGAAAAGTATTTTAGCAGCTCAAATAAGCCAAATGTTTTCTTTGAATGTATTTGATTTCAAAATTAATGAAAGTATTCAGTTTATGTCTTTTCGTAGTTGCCGAAGATAATATCAGAAATGACAATGATAATTTTAGACCCTATGAAATGCATATGCCAATAATATAAATAAGAATTTATATTTAATTATCTGCACAAATGAAGTTGTATCTAGGAGGCTTTGAGTTTATTTTCGAACAGTTCTCAGCCATCTTCAGGGAATCTACCAGCTAGACTTCGCCTTCCTCTCGACAAGATAGTCATCAGAGCATGTTGACAATGACAAAACATGATTGTTGTTCTCCCCACTTCATATTCTGCAATTTATTGTGATTCGATGATGGTTGTTTATTATGTCTGGCAAATTGTTTACAGCGCATAAACAATTTGAAAGGCGCCATTGCTGCTTCGATTGGCTCCAAATGTCTTGCATTATTATTGCATATATATATTAATAACTCATATCGGGGCTAGCATCTGCGACACGCCCCGCCAGGCCCAGAGAAATTGTGTACAAATTGTGTCAATACAACTCGAACACGAAGCAACGAGCCAAACAACGTGTCTCATTCAAGCGCGTTTAAGCACTTTGCC